AAACCATTTCCAAGAGTTGCACTTACTTATCTGTTAATTTTATATGGAAAAGTTACGGATATGCTATTTAGAATGAGCCCCTTTGGTCTAAAGGGTAGAACACACTGCATTCTTTTTTTTTTCTTTTTGTACTCTATTTTTAAAATCTTGTTTCCCTACATATTTTACTTCTCCTAGCTACTTTTTGACCTACTGTGAAGAATTTTAAAGCACCTTTAACCAATAGTTTTCCCTAATTTAATGAGACTATATCAAAGAAGACATTGGAGTGTTTTAAAGTTTTATATCGTAAGCAATTTAATATTTATATGCTGTTTACTTTACTAGAGGCATCTAAAGTAATTACAGTGACTCTGATGTTTATGACGCATCAGAAATGTGACAGACCAAGTCTATAAGTTTTAAATGCTTTGATAAGTTTTCTTTGTTGTGCCCCAAACAATCATATCCTACACACTATAATTTACTTCTTTGGGTAATTGGAAACAACTTCTCTGAAATTCTAGTCTTTTCAAGATTTATGGGATTGGTTTGAACAGGCGCTACATAGAGTTCCCAGAATTTTATGATCTGCCAGCTGGATTACGGTTTTTAAAGTGGTAGTGGTGGTGGTGATGGTAGTGGTTGTGGTGGTACTTTAAATTACAATGGACTTCCAGTGTCATCTTCTTGAAATTTTTTTAAATACTCCCTGAAAATTAGTGGGTACAAACAACCCTAGTCCTAGCCTCTGAAAAATAAATCCACTAACAGCAACAAACAGGCAAACTAAGCTTTGTCTGAAATATTAAGATTAATATTCAGATAGTGAAAGTCCAATGTGAGACATTCATGGTCCAGAAATCTAGAAATTGTTTAATTTTTTAAAAATTTGGCCAGTTTTAAACTCGTCAAAATTACAAACATTATTTCTCCAATGTTTAATTAGCAAAAGTAACCAGCTAAAGATGGCATAGATGATTAACACCTCAGTTCTCCAAAAGTTATATCGTTATTTACCTCAACAATGTGGAATTCAACTGATGATCTAAAAATGAGCAAGAAGGCTGCTAAAGATACTAAAGTAGAGGTCAGAACATGTAAGTACTAAAAGTCTTAGATTTTTGTTTTTAGGAGAATCCCTTAGGCCCTCATTCAAAGGTTATTTACTATAAATACTAACTTTACCTTCAGCTGGAAGTTTCAGAACAGGTACCAATGGAAAGTGTATTGACTATCCTGCTACTTATCACACATGACACCTGAGCTCTGGTCTCTGTGCCTTTGTGATGTCTGTCCTCCATGCCTGGAAAACATCTCTGTCTCTTAGAGTCCCTTGTTTCTTTCAAACCCCTATTCAAGCAACAGCCTCTACATGAAGCCTTTCCTGGTCTCTCCTAGTTTCTAAGGCCTCCTTGTAATTTACCATGTGTGTTCACCTTATATTTTATTTTTTTTAGTAGAAATGTCTCTTTTTTGTTTTTTAAAAAAAAATTTTATTTTAGACTTAAAGACTAAAACTTAAATACATAATAAGAAAAAAGAAACATAAACTTAAATATTAAAACTTAAATACAAAATAAGAAAAAAAAGCTTTGCCATGTGCACAGAACATAAGAGAGGATTCAAAATATACAACCATAAATTTCCATTCCATTTGAAATTTCCATTTCAAGAGAGCCTATATAATAAATACTTTGCATTGTGCTGAGAGCTGTCCATCTTTTGTTTGCTTCCTTGTAAGTTTTCTTTTGTTCTCTGCTGTGTACTTTTACCTTATATTTTATATCTACTTTTTATATACATGTTTTCTCCTCTCATAGAATGTAAGCTCCTTGAGGGCAGAAACTGTTTCATATGTGTGTGTGTGTGTGTTTTTAAATCTCAATATATTCCCAGCACCTAGTACAGTGCTGAGCACATAGTAGGTATTTAATAAGTTCTTGTCGAATTAAGCTAAAAAGGAGTTCATCGAGTGTGGTTAAGCATAGACTGAAAATGTGGGTATGTAATTTTCTAACACCTACATGGCAGATTAGAAGTGCATGAGAGATTTTTAGTGAAGAGTATAAGGAAGCAGTAAGATCTGAATCCTGGCTGGCCGGTGGGGAGGGTAGACATAGAGAAACTATAAAAAGCAGACATGAGAACTCAAAAAAATAGAAGCAGTGGTAGAGTGGTAAATAGGCATTTGGAGAGACTTACGAAAGGAGGGAGATGTGAAAAATCTAAGGAAAAGAAGAAATTCAGCTGTTATCTATCTTGAAAGAGTCTCATCCTGGTTCCCATAAAAATTAGATTGAAATAATCTTCCTCTAAATGAAACCAAGTGTAAAATATGCATCATGTCCAAATGTGCTCCATTTTGGCCTACTGTTTACTCTTTTTTGTTGGTAGTAGTTTTTTACCGGAACTATGATTTTATTTAGTACAGGAAGTTCCCAGTGAGGAAACTCCCTTCCCCATTGCCAATTGACACTTGCTTCAAAATTTATAGACTCGGCGTTGTTTGGGGAACAGAAAGGGTAACGGCCTTACTCAGAGTCACGCCACACGCCGTTATTCCCTGAACTCCTGACTGGTAGTTGCCTCAATTGTCCGCTACTTCTACACTTGGCTCCAGCCGCCATTTCCTTGCCCCAACCCCCCACCTCACTCCCTATGCTTTCTTCTTCAGCGACTGTGATCAACTCAACTCTGCCATTGTCAACAAGTATTTACCAAGCAGTTACTATGCGCCAAATATTCTGCTAAGTGATTAGGATACAAAGACATAGACAGTCCCTGCCCCTCAGTGAGCTCATATTCTGATAGGGAGACAAATATGGAGATAACTAAGAAGATAGAAGACATATAGACAGTAATTGGAAAATCATCTCAGAGAGGAAGGTACGGAAGCCAGGTGGACTAGGATAAGCTTCCCATAGAAGGTAGAATTTGAGCTGAGTGTTGAAAAAATGACTTTCGTAGCTGAGTGGAAGATGGATTAGAGTAGGGAAAAATCCGTATCAGTCACTTTGGAGAGGTCAATTTTAATTGAATGATGAAGTCTGAAGCCAGATTGTGGAGGAATAAGTAGAAAGTGAGAGAAGCGGAAGTGCTTAGTCTAGATGGCTTTCTCCTTTTAAGGGGGTGTTAGTCTATTCCTCTGTGACTCTGCTTACCATCTCTATAATTCAATAGTTCTCAAATTATTGACCCAGGGAGCCCCCAAGACCCTTTCAAGGGGTCTGCAAGATCAAAACTGTTTTCATACCAATACTAATACATTATTTGCCTATTAAAATTCTCCCTTTCGGGGCAGCTAGGTGGTGCAGTAGATAGAGCACCGGCCCTGAAGTCAGGAGGACCTGAGTTCAAATCCAGCCTCAGACCAAACACTTGACACTTCCTAGCTGTGTGACCCTGGGCAAGTCACTTAATCCCAATTGCCTAAAAACAAACAAACAAAAAAATTCTCCCTTTGCAACTATGTATCTGTGTGAGGCTGGGTTTTCTTCACATACTTTAACCAAAACAAAATGTTGCAACAGATTGAATGCAGAAACAGAAACGAGAATCCAGCTATCTAACAATAAGCCAGACGTTAGAGAAGACTGCAAAAATAAGTTTTTAAAAATGCCACTCTTCTCACTAAACTTTTTTGTTTTTGAAAATGGTTATTTTTTTCATAAAAATCTATTATTTGTGTTCCATGTAATGGGCTTGTTACTGTTATTTTCAATGAAATTAAATATTTTAAAATGTCAGTTTTAATTTCTAACATGGTTAATATCGATAGATTATAACCCACATAAGCAAAAGTTCTTTGGGGTCCTTAATATAAAGGAATCCTGAAACGAAAAAGTTTGATAGCCACTGCTATGACTTTCCAAATGGAGTTATCCTTTCCTGGCCACTATTCCTAGCTATGTGTTGTCTCCCCCATAAAAATGTCAGTTCCTTGAGAACAGGGACCGGCTTTGCCTTTGTATTGGTATTCCCATAGTTGAGCACAATGCTTGGCATGTAGTAAGCACTTAATGGATACTTTAAAATTCATTCATTTTAGGTAACTTGATTTAGAAGATGTTAGAAAATATCAAATCGTATAAAATTAGTGAAAAGGTAAATATGTGACACAGAATCATAGAATTCTCAAACTCCAAGGGATTGTAGACATCTGCCCCACCTCCTTTATTTTGCGGATAAAGGATCTAAGGTCTTGAGAGTTTAAATGAAAGCCCAACCCCACTCCCCGCCCCCCCTTAGATAGGCCACATATCTATGGCCACATTCTCAGCATGGTCCAACTAGCAGCCCTTGGACCTCTTAAGATTTTAATATGTAGCACAAATAAAACACTTTTTTTGGCATCCAACTCAGAAGTTTTAAGAAGCTAGTTATAATACATTTTCATCATGAATTGCATAGTTTGGGTGATTTTAAGAAGTATGTGAATACCTTATTAAATAAAATTTGAACTTATTAAGTGGCCAAATGTAATTAGGTAATAAAAACTTAAGTAACATTTTTTCAGTCATTAGTTAACTGTACATGTGGCTATTTTCATAACCATGCAAATTTCATGTGAAATTTTACAGGCCATTATCTTTCTTCACTCAATATATGAACCCTAATATCAAAGTACTTGTTTTTATGTCTTTACCAATGAATTACTGAATAGTCCATTCACTTTAGAATCTGAACATTCACATGACTGGTTTAATTAGAAAACAAGAAAGCTCAATAATTCTACCATAAGCTAGTAATAATGTACCAGTGGGAGTCCTTGCGGCTCTTTATTATTCAAATACTCAGTGGTTTCTTGAATAAAGTGGATGACTAAGTATACTTATAGAAGTAAGAGAGATTATTAGCAGTGGAAGACACATTTGAACTTGCTGAAAGAACTGCTTTTGTATCTAGGAAGGCCTACTCTCAGTAATTATTATACTAGGTCTTCATTTTATCCCAGCAGTCCCTCCTTATTCACGCTTGCAATGTCTGAATAGCTTTCTATTGCTTGTTAATCCCCACAGGAATGTGGCTTTGGTTATGGGGAGGATGCACAGTGCATGACATGCAGGCCGCACAGATTCAAGGAGGACTGGGGCTTTCAGAAATGCAAACCCTGTCTGGATTGTGCATTAGTGAACCGATTTCAGAAGGCTAACTGTTCTGTCACCAATGATGCTGTTTGTGGGGACTGCTTACCAGGGTGAGTTAAATTTTTCTGTTCTTTCATTGTTCTAAAAAAACTATTTCTCCCTTTTAAAAAAATCTCAATTTTATATTTACCAATATTAACTCTTAAATTATTTAAGATTATATTAACTGTTAAATTAATACGCTAATATCAACTTGTCATTTATTATGTAAATTATTAAATTAATATATAATTATAAACCTCAAGTTATTTATTATATTATATTAATTAAACTCTTAGATTATTTAACATATTAATTATTAAATTAACACACTAATATTAACTCTTAAATTATTTGTCCTGTCTTTGTGTCATTACAATATTGTGTAAACAGTGCTAGATTGGGAACAGGAGGATCTATGACCTTGGGCAAGTTACTTTACCTCTCTGGGTCTCAGTTTTTTCATCTATAAAACTCTGAGGGCATTGGATTGGGTAGCTAAGTTCCTTTCCAGCTCTAAATATGGCCCTGTGAATTAGATTATAGATTCCTTGAGTGTAGGGTCAATGTCTTCTTCTTTGAGTCCCCAACAGTGCCTTGCACATATGAGGTTCTCAATCAGTATTTTTTATTTTTGGGGGGCTAGGCAATGGGGTTAAGTGACTTGCCCAAGGTCACGCAGCTAGTAAGTGTTATGTGTCTGAGGCTGGATTTGAACTCAGGTCCTCCTGAATCAAGAGCTGGTGCTGTATCCACTGCCCCTCAATCAGTAGTTGTTGGTTTAATTTGCTGGATTTGTCCTTCCACTGTTTTGTCATTTAGTCCTTCTGTGCTTTAATAGCTAAATCATTGCACATTGTGCTCTATGTCCAGAATGAACTTGCTCCTCACCCTTACTTCATAGAATCCTTAGCTTCCTCAAAAGCACTACTCAGGTGCCGCCTCCTGGATGAGGCCCTTTCTCATCCTACCAGGCCTCATATTGAAATTTGTATTTCCTGGAGTCCTATAACATCATTCAATTCCCCTTGCCCATTTGTAGGTTTCAAGGAGTTATTTTATTCCTAAAGATTTTGTATCTTTTTTCTTAATTGGTTAACTTTCTTTTGATAATTTTCTTGAATTTCTTTTAATTCAGGTACATGTTGTATTCTACCACACACACACTCCCTTTCCCTACCAATAAGCACCTTATGAGGACATAATCTATGTCATTTTTGTCTTGTGTCCCCAGTACCTAGAACAGTGCCTTGCATATAGTAGGCACTTAATCAACTTTTGATTTGAACTTAATTGTGTGGAGTTCAATTTGAAGGCAAGGTCCAAAGCTTTATGACCTGACTTTGTTTGCATTTATCCTAATGTTTGCATTTTTACTAATATCAAAAGCTCAGAAACTGGAAGTTATGACATGGTGCATATGACTTGTAAATGAATGAATTCAGTCTGACTCATAGATGTGAATATTAGAACTGGAGTGAATTTAATCTAACCTTTTCATTTTACATATAAGGAACTCAAGCCTAGAGGGGTAAAATGACCAAAACAACAGACAGAGACAGTGTAACAAGACAGGACGAAGACTGACATCTCCTAAACTCCCAGCCCCATGTTCTTTCTAATGTATCTGGACAATAATACAGTTATAACATCAACTTTAAACTAATTCTGTGAGTCAGAAGGGATCTCAGAAGTAACATGGTTCATTCTATACCTGAATAGAAATATGGCTCTGAATGTCTCTGAAAAGTGGTCATCCATGGGGGAAGCTAGGTGGCGCAGTGGATAGAACTCTGGCCTTGGTGTCAGGAGGACCTGAGTTCAAATCCAACCTCAGACACTTGATACTTACTAGTTGTGTGACCCTGGGCAAATCTCTTAACCCCCATTGCCTCATAAAGAAAGAAAGGAAGGAAGAAAGAAAGAAGGAAGGAAAAGTAGTCATCCAGACCTTGCTTGAACCTCTAATGAGGGGGAACCACCACCTCTTGAGGCAATTCATTCCATTTTTGGTCTTCTATATTTGTTAGTTTTTCAACAGTTTGCCTATCTATACTCTCCTCTCTAGAGATACACAGAACAAGTTTAATACAGATTCTGTGTTATTTCCTTTCAGATATTTGAAGATGACTATCATGGCCTCCCTCTGTTCCACATTTTCTAGATTAAATGCCTCTGGTTCTTTCCCCAATTTGAAAACTAATTTTTTTTTCAATTAAGCATTTATTTTCTCTTCCTCCCACCTCCCATCCAACTGAAAAAAAGGAAGGGGGAAAAAAAACTCCTTGTAACAAATGCATAATCAAGCAAAACAAATTTCCATATTGGCCTTGTTTAAGATTATGTGAGTCATTCCATATATTTAATCTATCACCTCTGTCCTTAAGTGGGTATCATTCTTCATCCATCAGTCCTCTGGAATTGTGGTTGATCATTGCATTGATCAGAGTTCTTCAGTTTTTCAGTCTTTTGTTTTCACAGTGTTGTGACTATATAAAGTATTCTCATAGTTCTGTTTACTCTGAATCAGCTCATATAAGTCTTCCCAGGTTTCTTCAAAATCTTACCCTTCATCATTTTACATAGGACTGTAACATAGTACTGTAGTATTCCATTACCTTCATATATCCATAATTCCATATACCAGTCATTCTCTAGTTCATAGACACCCTCTTTCTTTACAATTCCTATTCCTCATGCGATATGATTTCTGGATTACTCCCCATTTGGGATCTTTATTCCTCAATGCAGACTCTTGCCAACTGTCTATTCCTTTCTATTATTTACATTGTTATTTAAATACTCATTGAAGGATTGTGGAAAAATTCAACCTCCTTAAAAAGTAACTGAATTTAAGGATAATCTCCTCAAGTGCATGGCCAAGAGTATCTTTTTTAAAATGTAGATGTAGGGTCTTACTCTTAATCATTTTAAAACTTGAGGTAGAATTTAGTGCAGATGTGTAATATGAAACTCTAGGTAGAGAATATGGTGACTCATGCTGAGGGGAAGAGGAAGCTTTTCAGATGAGAGGGTTGAGTTATTGAATAGCTGAGAGGTGTTTTTAAGAAATTATGGAACAGATGTGACAGATAGGCTGAGGAAAAGTAGAAGGGGGAGCGAACCAAATTGAATAGCCTGAGAAAAAGAGGACAATGAAGATATACAGAACTCCCCAGCTCATTCTTCTCCCTACTTAAACTACAGGTTTTTGCTTCAGTGAAGTGCTTAGCTGTAGCTTCATGGTTTAATTACATTATTATTTTTAAAATTATGTTCTTTTCAAACCAGCATTAATGCATTAGGTAGGTAGCACTTACATAGTGGCTTTTATCCAAAGCTTTTTCAAAGTTTTTTACAAAAACATTTTCACTTTACTGCATCAGTGGGTGATATGCCTTAATCTCATTTTTTAGACAGTAAAGTTGAGGCACAGGAAATGACTTTCATGATACCACCACCACCACCACAACCCCCCCAAAAAAAGCAAAAGGAGGAGTAAAACACTGGCCAGATTTTCATAGTGAAAAATGACAGTCATCAATAGAGATAAGCTATTTACCCAGTTTAGGCCCAAACTTTAACCTTTATTCAAGTAGCCATATTTTGGTACATTGTCCAAATTTATCAGATAGTGCTTCTGATTTCATTCCAATTGATGCTATGGAAAATAACACCTAAATTCTGAATATTACAAAAGTTTCCTTCATAATAGACTTGATATGAATTACAGTTGAGAGGCAAAGAGCCATCAGCTTTATTTTTTTTCTTTTCTATTTGGGATTGGTTTAGAACATATGGAGTCTGTATAAGCATGCTCAGCAAACCTTATTGAAACCCTACAATGTGGTCAGAACTATGTTTTCTTGATGGTATGATACCTGAGATAGAATTGTGTTTTAATGTTTAAGTTACTTTTCATTTGAAATAGTAATAGAAGTAATAGTAATAAAAGCTTCCAAAATTTTCTAGCAGAAATCTGTTGTTATATCTATTAGCTTAGGATAAAGAGACAATAAAAATTAATTCTCCTTCCTTTTCTAGATTTTACAGGAAGACAAAGCTTGTCGGCTTTCAAGACATGGAGTGTGTACCTTGTGGAGATCCACCACCCCCATATGAGCCTCACTGTGAGTGAACTTTGCTTAAAATAGGACTGGAGCTCTCCTTGACTTTCTTACTTGCTTTCATTAGTTGAGAAATGAAGTAAATTTTTCTCACTGTGAAGCTGAGTAGGGGCCATGAACTTTTATCAAGTTCCTTACCAGGATATTAATACTCATTTGTTAGTGTTTTAGGGAACAAAACCTCGATTCATAAGGATCTCAAAGAAAATTATCAATATTTTACTATTAATATATAAATGCACAAATTAAAAATAAAGGGCATATGAAGAAAGATGCTATCTATATCCAGAAAAAGAACTGATAAATAGAAGTATATATAGAATACCTTTCCATACATATGCTGTGTCTAATGGTAGCCATCTCTAAGGCAGGGTGGAAGGGGGGAGGAAAGAAAAAAAGAAAAAAAAAGAAATTTATATGATAACTTTATTATATATTTACAAGGAATATCAAGTTGTACATAATAGACTTGCAGTAATATGTAATTATCTTTTTTATTATACTATGGAAATGCTTGTTTTATTCCATAAATTAAATATAAAAATTTTTTTAAAAAGGTATTTTTCTATTACATTTCATTCAAGAGAGGCAGTATGGTGTAGTAAGCCTGGAGTTAAAAAGACTTGAGTTCAGATTCTGTCTCTTATACTTTATGTATAATTCTGGAGAAGTCACTTTGTGGATTGTGCATTGTGTACTCTGTGCATTGTAAGCAACATCCTAGAACTCTGTTAAATTATAGATAGATTATGATCTGTTGTTGAAGAGAGATCCTATATTTGGGAAGAGACTCTCCACACTGAGAGTTCCCCACACTGATACAATCACAACTACTTCTACATATTTGTATTTTGTTCATATTTTATATTTTGTTTTATTCTTATCAGTCATTTCTCATTCGGTGAACTAATCACAATTTATAACAGAATAAGGGCTATTTTGATATAATTTCTTAGAAAACTCTCTATCCTCTAAAGAAGACAGGACCGGGAATGGGACAGGGAGAAAGCCACCAAATAGGCTTACCAGTATGCTTGAAGAGTGCATATTGACTTCTACATGCCTTGAAAGGTCTTTGGTGTGGGCCCAGAACAAAAAGGAGCAAAAAGTGTTCTATTGTTGGCAGTTGGGAAGAAGGTCACTAGCAACTGGAAAAGAATTCTAATCATTGGCCCTGGTCAAAGGGAAGAATTCGAGAGAATCAAAAGAAAAGGTTTATTCCACTCATGTTTTGCTAATTCACTTCCAGATAGGAATAGAACAATTGGATAATATGTCCATTGATTTTAAAGTTCTGTATTAGTGTACTCTTTTATAATAATATTTTTTAAAACCCTTACATTTATCTAGCCCTTAAAAGACTGCCTAACACTTTCTTTTTAATTACATGTGAGGTATAGGCAGTATGTGTGTCTGTCATATCCATTTTGCAGATGAGAAAACTGAGACTCAGTCATAAAACTAAGAATTATCAGAGCTGTGATATGATCCCAGATGTTCTTGATTACCATAATTCTCACTCTATTATAATGCCTCTTTTATGTCATAGGACATGGTTCCTGATTTTTATAAAATGAATATTTCATCTAATTAAATTTATTCATTCAATTAAAAAGCAATGTAGGGGCAGCTAGGTGGCGCAGTGGATAGAGCACCAGCCCTGGAGTCAGGAGGACCTGAGTTCAAATGTGGCCTCCAACCAAACACTTGACACTTACTAGCTGTGTGACCCTGGGCAAGTCACTTAACCCCAATTGCCTAAAAAAATAAAAAAAAGCAATGTAACATTTAATAGATGAAGCCACATGCCATTTTTCATTTTTTTGGGGAGTATTTTGCAAAATGCAGCCTTTTAAATTTTTTTGGTATTACTTGTACAAAGGAAAAATGGCACCTTGTGTGCTCTTATTTATTATGATGAAAAAGCTAACCACAGGAGAACAATTTCTAGCTTTCATAGTTCTTCATATTTGCCCTTGTTTTTATAAAATACAGTCTCATACCCAAAGAAAATCAGGCCACCTAATTCATCTTCTTCTGGAAAATATATTGCAATTATCTTTTCCCCTAGTATTTACAGGCTTAAGAATGTCAGAGATAGGGGCAGCTAGGTGGCGCAGCGGAAAGAGCACTGGCCGTGGAGTCAGGAGGACTTGAGTTCAAATCTGGCCTCACATAACACTTACTAGCTGTGTGGCCCTGGGCAACTCACTTAACCCTGACTGGCTTGCCCCCCCGCAAAAAAAGAAATGTCAGAGCTGGAAGAGTTCTTAGAACATATCTAGCACTACCCTATTCATAATACAGTGGAGGAAAGTAGGGTCCAAAGAAGTGATTTTCCAAAAGTCATGTAGCTAGTAAGTTTCATGGCCAGGACTTAAACAGGTCTTCTGATTCTAAGACCACTGTTTACTTTAGAATTTGGTGTTTGATATAGATTTTCAGTAGTCTCTATGTAATTGACATCAAAGTGCCTCTTTATGATGTGTAATTAGCAAGAGAACAGAATGTATTGGAGAGCAATAACACATCTCCCAAATATTCTATCAGAGTCCAAATTGACTCTGATCTAATACAGAATGAAATATAAGGTATGACCCCTATGAGAAAGTTTATTAGTGGAAAGAGATAAAAAAAAATGAAGTGTAATCTATGCCTGCTGCATGTGGCTATTACTTATTAGCTACATAGAAAACATCTAGGTTGCAACTGGAAAAAAGGTGATTTTTTTTTCCATTAATTTAATTTAAATTTAATGTTTTCTAGTCAAGGAGTCTCAGGCTAGGGAAATTTCTGCTATCAGAATTCTAGCTAAGCATGAATAAATATCAGAAGCTTGAAGAGATTTGTGGTCTATCTCCATAGCTGTATTGTATGAGATATGTAATGTATAATACTCGTTCTGTGTGTACATATACAAACACATACATATATGAAGATATATATGGAGATTACATGTATATATATATATATATATAGACAGATACAGCATTTGAAAAAGTAAAATATTGCTGTGTATATTGGCGCATATCTGTAGTTCCTGCTCTTGGGGAGGCTGAAGGTAGTGCATCCCTTGAACTTGAGAGCTGCAGTAGGGTTAAAGCCAATTGGGTGTCTGCATTAATTCTAGCACTAATACGGTGAGTCCTTGGAAGCATAGATTGATAAAAGGCTGATAAAAGATGGGCAAAGCACAGTCCGAGTTGGAAGAGACAGGAGGTTGTGGTGAAAGAGGAAGAGAGAAGAATGGAGGGAGAGAGGAGGAGAGAAAAGAAAAGAAAAGGAAGAGGAGAGGAGAAGAGGAGAGGGGACGGGAGAGAAAAGAAAAGAAAGGAAAGGGAAAAAGTGTAACAAGACCTTTATCTGAAAATGACATGTCCCTTTATAAAAGGGAATGATAGCAGTATCCCAAATACTGACATCTTAGATCCCTGTAGAATGCAAGTCAAGATTAATCTGAAAAGGCCTTTTCTGATTCATAACATTGAAAATTAAAATGAAGGTAATTCATAATGGTTCCTAAATGACTTATACTTAGAACTCTTTATGTAGTAAAGAATAATTTATTTGGCAGAATCAAAATTGACACAATTTACTTAGTTATTGATCTTTCAAAGAAAAAGTTCACCCCACTAAGGTAATAGATTTAGCAGATTTCATGGTCCTGGAGAAGAAGTAGTCCCTATCTCCACATAGAAAAATATGCTATCTTTGGCTTAGTCTGAGGAATAATTCTGTATCTAAACCAAGGATAATCTCTGCCAATAAAATGTAGAGAGCTTTTGGGGGAAATGATGTGGCATAGCTTGAATGATCATTTTTTACTTTATGCTTTGACATTCACCCACTGAGAGTGACCTCTTCAATGGCTCCCCTAACCCACCCGCTGGCTCTTCTTAGCTATCATATTAATTTTATGTACACAGAAGCTGTGTAAACATCACTGGCCTTGGAATTGAGAGACTTGACTTTGAATCTGCCTATGCCACTTACCTGTGTGACTTTAAGCACTCTACTTAATCTCTCTGTGCCTCTCAGTTTCCTCATCTGTAAAGTAGAGATAATACTGATGAAGCCAACTTCTTAGAGCTGTTACGAGGATTAAACAAGATAATGTATTTTGAAGCTCTTTGCTAACCTTAAGGAGCTATATAAAGTTAACTATCATTATTAATATATAAATCTCCAAGTACCAAGGAATTTGCCTGTTGCATAGTTTTCCTTTATATTTTTTTATTTTATTATTTTTTTGTGAGACAATTGGGGTTAAGTGACTTGCCCAGGGTCACACAGCTAGTAAATGTCAAGTGTCTGAGACCGTATTTGAACTCAGGTCCTCCTGAGTCCAGGGCCAGTGCTCTATCCAATGTGCATTCTAGCTGCCTCTTTATATTTTAATTCATTTAATTTATTTATTTAATATATTTCCTTTGTGTTTTAATAACTGTGCTATTAAGAGGCATGACCAAAACTTCAGCCCAGGTCTTCTGATTCTAAGACCTATGCTTATTTCAGAGTTTGGTATTTGATACAGATTTTGAATTGTCTCTTTGTGAGTGGTATCAAGTGCCTCTTTAAGATGAGGCATTCACAAGAGAATAGAATGTCTTGTAGAGTAATATCACATCTCCCAAATTTCCTGTGATTCCTACTTAGACTTGTCATTTCCTAATTGCCTTAGGAAGTTGTCTTAAAGATCAAATGTTGATTCTCATAAGGGAACCAGGCAAGAGAATGTGGATAAATCTATTGTCAGTACAAATCCTAGGGTAAACAGTCCAAAGCCCATTTCTTGTAAATGGTAGGTCTATATATCATTATCATGTGTCCATGAAGGGCTTCACTTATACTAATAGGAATTTTTTTTGGGGGGGGGGAAGGTGAGGGTGGGAGAAGAGTTGGAGGACTGAATGGTCTGGACCTGTGAATTCCATTCAGAACAGGAGATTCCCAGAGTGGAAATTACCTTTGCTCATGTAGATGAGCTGTCAGCTTCTAGTGTT